GGGGAGGTCCAGCAGTGGGGATAGGCAACTGACCAAATCCACTGTTTGGCTCCTAGGTGCTGGGAGTCGGAGCGTTCTCTTGCCTGCGGGGACCCAGCCCGCACCAGCAGCCCAGGGCTCTTCCCTCAGCTTGCTGGGGGCTTACTCGGATAGCGAAGACAGCCCCAGCGACTGACCCAGAGTGGCTCTGCTAAGATCCTGCCCGCTCTCCTTTTGCTCCCCTCCCCCAGCCAATGAGAGGGGCACAGTTGGAAGGTGCAGGAGGACTGGGATTACCTTCCCTCACCCAGCCCGCACTCAGCTGCCCTCTGCATAACAAAGCCGACCATAGAGTTGGCTTCCTGTAGCAGAGAGCGGCCCAGGCCATCTGCACATGCCGCTGACCATCTGTAATCAGAGCGGCTCTCCCTGCCTGGGAAGAGCCTTGCTAATACGCTGTCATGTTGTAGCATGCCTTCAAAGTGGGCCCTAGAGCATGATTGCCGCCAGGCATCTCTGTATTGTCATCCACCTACCCCGGCTCCTGTCAGCCCGGTGTGAGTGATGGTGACACCAGCAAACCAGCCCCCTGGGGACGCAACTCTATTAGAGGAGACAACTGCTGCTTGTCAGCGTCTCCACAGTGAGCTTCCTGCTGTGGGTTTTGGGGCAGGGGGGATGGGAGGGAGATGCACAAACCAGAGCAGTCAAGCAGGGCTGAGCCCTAGATGCCACCAGCGGAAGCTGGGATCTGTCACCTGTGCTTTGGCAGCTAAACTGGGTGGTAATGGTGACAGCCATGGAGTTCCCAGAGAGCATAGCCTGCCTCTGCCCGTCACTGACTGCCCTTCCCCATGCTCCTCTTTTGACCGCCAGGCAGCGTAAATGCCTCACTGTCCACATGGGCTGCCTGAGTCCTAACCCAGTTCACTCTCAGTGCAATAAAGGGCCCTGGAAGAGAGGTTTCTTTCCCTGCCCACATCCTTCTCTGTCTCAGTGCAAATCTCATTGCTAGCTGGAGCAGGGACGCCTGAATTCTCTGGCCAGCTTGGAATGTGACCGTCTTGCTTGGAGAGGCAGCAAGTTACTAAATCACCTGGCTGGGAAGCCTCTACGTCCCTCCCTCATCACCAGTGATTAATAGCGTCCTCCATGTCTGCGCTGGTACTAGTCTAGCTGGTGCTGGGGGAGCGTGGGGCACGCTGTGCTGACTGAGTGTCCTCAGCAGAAGTGGCTTCTGCTTCCCCACCCACCCTGCTGCAGCATAAGGCAGACCAAGCTTAGAGCCCTCTCTTCCTCCCCACTTAAGCCCCATGTCCTCTACCAGCAGCTCCACAGCAGCACAGCGCAACACAGACCCACCTTCTCCCCCATCAGCCCTTGTGCCCCCTGGCCCTCTGCAGTCATGGCCACGCCTATGTTTCCTCAGCTTGCCCGGCAGCGGATGCTCTCCAGCATCTCCTCACTGTGCCTGCATCCAAGTCCCTCTCCCCTATCCAGAAGCCCCCTTAGGGGCTTGTGGCTAAGGTGTCTAGAGATGAGACATGCTGCTCAGGAATGCTGCTAACCTTGGCTGTGCTGCCTTGTTGCTCTGTGCCTCCATTTCTCCATCTGGGAAAGGGGCCATCCTGGCTCTGACCCCCAGGAAGCTCAGGGCTACAAGGAGTTGGAGAAATTGGAGTAGGATTAATAGGCATTTAGGACCTAGTTCTGCTGCCCAGGAACTGTGGTGCCTGATGGCCACAGGGTGCATTAGCACAAGGTAGAATAGCAAGCAGGGGCAAAGGAGCAGGATCATGCCCTTGGCTGGGTCAAGCCCTTGGCAACTCCCACGCCCGTGGCTGGGTCAAGCCCATGTGCTGGGCAGGGCTGAGGCCTGGTATGTTGTCTCTTTCCCACCCAGTTGCAGAGCACAGCTCCTCTGCCCTAGCTGCTGCCAAGGTGATACACTCCCAGTGCCACCAGTGATGAGCTCTGGCTCACAGCCCACAGCAGCCCCACTACCCACAGAGCCCTGGATCCAGGGACAAGAGCCTAGTGTCCTGGTGACATTCCCCATCTCCGGGAGCCTGGGGATGAGATCACCCCCTCCTGGCTTCCCCTCTTCCACCTTCTCAAGTGCCCCCTGTCCCTGCTGAGCCAGATAAGCTTCCTCCTGCTTCTTCCCAGCCCTGCGGGTCAGCAGCTCCTTGGGGTTCAGCCCCATGTCACAGGCCCTTCCCCCTGGTGCTGATCCTGGCAGTGCGACCATGTTGCTGCCTGTTGGAGGCGACTGGGTCACCGTAATAAATTGGACATGTCAGCGCCGTTTGCTTCTTCATCTCCTTTCATTACCCACAGCGGCAATTCATCTCCTGGCCCGGGGGAGCCGGCGCTGCTGGTGGGGGGATGATGGAGTGGGGAGGGGGGCCAGGGATGAGCCCCTGTGGATCTGACTGCTTCCTCCTTGCCCTGGTGGGGAGGGGGATTGGTGTGCTACAGAAACCTGAGAGGGATGAAGCAGCCCGCTAGGCTGCATCTGATCTGGCCGCGCCAGCCCCTTGGGAGCTCACAAGCGCTTTGTCCAGCTTAAAGCGATCGGATTGATGCAGCTTCCCCGGCCCCTGGAGAGCCCCCTCGCTGCCCCCCTCCAGGATGGCGGGGCTGCGCTGGGGGGGATTGAGTGACAAAGATGGTGGGGGGCAAGGAGGGGATGATGGGAGTGCATCAGATCCAGCCTGGGCAGAAGCCATGGGCAGCTGATGGGGGAATCCCACCATCCAGGGACTGAGTTTGGCTTTCTTGGCAGACATGAGCTGCCAGCCCCCTCCCCAAGCCTGGGCCACAGGGCGCAAATGCCCCACACAGGCAGCACCAAGCCCTGTCTCAGCTCAGGGCCTCCGAGCCCAGCCTTGTCAGACTCCCCCAGCACAGTGCACCCCTGGGCTTCTGCCTCTCCTGCTCCATGTGCCCGCACTTTCCCCTGCTCCCAGCGCAGGCTGTCTGCCAGGCACCATGGCATGGGGCAGCTCACATGCCAACAGGGCTGAGCCCCAGCTGTACCAATAGCAGCTCCACCTGCCTGCACCCAGGTCAGGGGGTAAATCTCAGGCCTAATTTTAGCTCCACTTCCAAGTGGAAGGCCTGACCCTGCTGGGTGCTGAGATGCACACAGGAGATCCTGGGCCCCTGCCGCCCCCCCAGTAAGAGGTACAGAGCGTAGCAGGATCACACCCTGAGGCTTCTGTTTCCAGGGCATAAACACTGAGGTCCGGGCTCTGGCCTGACCCAGAGTGCTTGAAGCCAGTGCTAATCTGCCCGGTCAGTGGCTTTGGGCTCCAGCCCTGTGTTTGCCACCCCAGGGCACAGCCCTAACAGAGGAACAGGATTTCACTGCTTAACCCTCATTTCAAAACCCAGCGAGCAGGGATCTATTTCTGCACTGACTTCACAAGCAGGGCTTATTTTGGCTGCGTGCGGGGCGGGTGCGAGGGGTGACACAGGAAATGCGAACCCAGGGCATCAAAAGGGAGCAAAGTGGCGAAGGCCGCATCACATCTTCCCTGTGATGCTTCTATTCAGGGAACAATTATCATTCCCCACACGCATTCTAATTAGCAGCCTCTTCAAATATGAATCCTTCAGATGCCCGGCCTTTATCCGCGGTTCTGGTGTTTGTGTTTGATGAGATCTGTCAACAACTGTTCAGCTAGATGGGGGAAAAAAACCCCTTCTGGCAGAGCACATGAAACAGGACAATTACAGGCCTCTTACGTGTCTCCCCGTTAGGGATGGCAGCTCCCACCCTCAGAAAAGGAATCTTTGTTCTCAAAAGCAGGGGGAAGAGATTGAAATCGTGGCGGGGGGCAGTTGCGCCTGGCTCCATGAATGTTAAACACACCAGCGCACTGATAAGCCGTGCTCAGGTCGTGCCCACCAGGCACAAAAGGCTTTCAAAGGGCCTCAGAGGCTCCTGTTTAAAGGACATTCTCGGCCCTAAAAGGGGAGACAATGCGGTGGGGCCTGGCAGTGCTGTTCATGGCCGACCCCGGAGATGTGACGTGAAGCAGCCGGGGCTTGGGGTGACGGGAGGACTCACTCACCCTTCCTGCCTTCCCCCTGGGAAGGCAATGGGGCGGAAGGGAGAGGGGTCTTTTCTCCCCACTGGTTGTTGGGCGCTGGAGTTATCGGAGTTACCCGCACAGCCTGGGTGACTGCGGGGATGCGGGGAGAGCACTAGGAAGCCCTTGGTTCCCCACTCCCTCCAGGGCTGAGCCTCCAGCCTCGGAGCTGCAAACCCGGGGCGCCCCCGGGCTCCCGCTTCCACCCCCAGCCCAGTGCATGGGCGGGGAGAGCCCGCAGGGTCGGGGCCAAGGGGCTCCGCTTGCCCCGGCTCCATCGCAGCGGCTGCGGGATGCGGGCTGCGGGGGGGGCGCTCCCGGCGCCCGCAGCCGGGCCGGGGCCGCGCGGACAAAGGAGCGCGGCGGGACACTCTCGGGCTCAACTTTCCCGCCGGCTCCCGGCTCCCGCAACCCGG